TCTCTGACTCAACAGGTGGAATTTTCTTAAAGGTTAGTTGCCATGGGAATGAAGTTTTCATGCTCTGTGACACGGAGAGCCTTTGATCTGTTTTGCACGTGAGAGGGGCCTTTTACCTAGGCACTATTTTGTAGCTTCCTGCGCTGGTTATTTGGAAATCCTGGTGCACTGAGTTACATGGATCTTCGGTTGTCAGCACCTTGCATTACACAGTGTCAGAGAATCACATCTCCACCGAGCTCATCAGCAAAGTCTTCACATACTAACAGGCTGTCGCACTCATGGTGGCAGATACACATTGTCCAGAATTTCTAATTTTACTTGAGAAAGTACAAATTCTATCACTGGCAACAAAAACTATTATTTGTCTTTAAGAGACAGGTTCACTTTACTCGTTTTTGAGAAAAATGGCTGCCAAATCACCAAGTCTCAGTAACTACAGCTGACCGGTGCTTCTTCCAAATAAAAATGGCATTCCGTGAAAGACGGCTAACTTGCAACATAAACAATCATCCCATGCTTTTTCCCTGGACGCGGTCCTCGTACTTGGTATGCGAAAGATGTGCTTCATGCGGACTTGGCGTTTCATCACACAGAGGATGTGTACTCAAGGGCCAGGACTTAATACTGTTAGCAGTTCGTGCTGCTTCATCAAGGCCGTTTGTAAACGAAACTGGCTTCTTTTCCATTTTGGTAAACAGTTGGTGCCTGGTGGTGAGGAACACAGTGGCTGCAAGTATAATTTGGTATGTCACTGCCTTGATTTGTGCTAAGGCATCAGCAGTTGTACTTACTTTTTTTTTTTTTTTAACTGACACATACCGTACAGTTGACCCATTTGTAGTGTGTAACTAAATGATTTTAGTGCTATATTCAGAGTTGTGCGTCCAATGGTGCAGTCAACTATAGAACATTCTCATCGCCTCACCGAGAAACCTCATACCCATTAGCAGTCACTCCTCATTTTCTTCAAACCTCCCCAGCCCCAGGCAGTCACAGTTCCACTTTTTATCTCTATGCATTTGCCTGTTCTGGACGTTTCATATAAATAGAATCGTACAGCATCTGCTCTTTTGTGTCTGTCTCCTGTCAGTGCATTTTCAAGGTGCATCCAAGTTGTGGCGTGTGTTAGGATTTCATTCCTTTTTAGAGTGGATTAATATTCCATTGTACGGAATAGTATGTGGATTATGTCCATTATATAGAGACACGCTACATTTTATTTATCCATTCGGTGATGAGCATTTGGAGTTGCTTCTATTTTTTGGCTGTTTTGAATAATGCTGCTGTGAACATTTGTGTACGAGTTTTCATGTGGACATATGTTTTTATTTCTCCCGGGTACATACCTAGAAATGCGTTACTGATTCACATAGTAACTGTTCCACATTTTGAGGAACTACCAGACTGTTTTTCACGTTACCACCAGCAATGTACGAGGGTTCCACTCTGCCCACATTCTTGCCAACACTCTTTATTATCTTTTAAAATTCTAGCTGTCCTGGTGGAGTGGTATCTCGTGGCTTTAATTTGCATCTTCTGATGTCCTGGTGGTATGGTGGTTAAGAGCTCCAAGGCTAACCAAAAGTTCAGCAGTTCGAATCCACTAAGCGCTCCTTGGAAACCCTGTGGGGCAGTTCAACTCGGTCCTGTAGGGTCCCTATAAGTCGGAATCGACTCCACAGCGACGGGTTTGAGTTTTTGGCTTGGATGGTTAACCCACCTTTGTGTTCACACCGTCACTGCAGATGTTAGCACAGTGAAAAGGCAGATAATGTCTTAGTGGTATTACAGAAACAGTTTTGACCTAGTAGGTCCCCTTAAAGGGTCTCTGGGTCCCCCAAATGTCCACAGACACAAGAGCTGCTGATCTGCCCACACCATCACTCACCGTGTCAGTAGTAGATGCGGGATGTGTTCTCAGCATTGCATTTCTCTTTGCTTGGGCAGTAGGTTAGCAGCTCTATCAAAGGGATATTGGGAGGCAGTGGGGAAGCACGAGGGACAAGTAGTGGCTTTTCTGGTGACTCCCATAGAAGGTTCTGGCAGTTGAGTGAGGAGCAAGGCAGTCATGATTAGTGTGGGAGTTAATGACCCGTAGCAGTAAGAGGCTGTGTTGTGTCTTGCTCAGGTCAGCCATATAACCGTTTAAAGTCCTTCTTCATACTGTATGTACAGGAAGGGATAGGAGGCAGAGAGGGGCCCTTAGATCTTGCCACAGGCTGATTGTGTAGTCAGTCGCCTGAGATTTGCCCTTTCAAATGTGCAGTAATATTATCTCCCAAATGTTGAGTGCTGGCTGAATCCTAGTCATTGTGCTTGACTTTCTACATACCTTTTCATTAACTCCCAACATGACCCTGCAAGCAAGCACCTGTCATCCCCAGTCTACAGATGAGAAAACTGAGGATTAAATAACTTGCCCAGTGTCAAACAACAGGGCTGGGAATCGTACTGCAAACAAGAGTGTGTGAAGGCAGCCAAATGGAAACATTTTTTTTTTTTTTAACCGAACAAGAAGTGACTAGAGAACTGGTGCTTCCTTAACAGGCTGCACCGTGACGGGGGGTCTCAGTGGCAGTGACAAAACACAAGTGTGGAATATAGGAGATTAAAAACCCAGAACCTGCCCCATGCCGTCTTTCGACAAAGGAGCTGTGTTCACTGCTTTAGAAAATTGGTGAATGGTCAAGAATTGGCTAGACCCAGGTTCCTTGGCATGATTTTAAATCACACTGAAGTATGACTTCTTACGGATGTTGCTTTTAATCTGTCTTGAAATCAAGCACAGAGACTGCCAGCTTGGGTATGATTGATGGTTTCTGACAATGTGCAGTTACTTGTACTTAGAATAAATGCCAGCCATTTCAAGATCTCCATTTTCTGTGTAACTGAGACCATCCAGTAGAACCTTGTACAGCACAGGCTCGTAGAGCATCTTTTGGCATGAGGTGGCCTTGTCTTCAGAGTTTCTAATGTACTTTGAATATAGAATTACTGGTGCTGGAAGAACCTTTCTAGATGTCAAGATGTCAGTCTGTCTTACACCCGCATACAGAGCAGCAGCAAGTAGATGAAAGAATTATATCTAAGAAAATGAATGAGGAAATGATTAGACGGAAACTCAGGAATGTCTTAGGATTTCAAAATGCAGAGAGGTTTTCAGAGCGTAAAGGCGAAGTTCAGCACTATAACAAATGAAAAGCCAATGACAAATCAGAGGAAAATAGGCGCAACGTGTGTGGGCGGTGTGAACATTTAACGCGCTTGGCTGCTGACTTAAAGGTTGGAGGTTCAGGTCCACCTCGAAGTGCCTCGTAAGAAGGATGTGGTGCTCACAGCCATTGAAAACCCTGTGGAGCACAGTTCTCCTCCGACACTTAGGAGATCATCATGAGTTAAAATGGACTCCAGGGCAACTGATAGAGCTGGTGACAAATCAGTATGGAGGAGAAGGTGGCTGAAGGAACTGGGCCGGGGAGTGTGGAGGAGTGTCCTTACAGAGGGTATGGTCCTTGTTTTTCAGCTGTTGTGAGGGCTGTTTGCTGGAGGGAGGATTGCACTCCTGTTTCCTGAAGCTGGCTGGCCCAGTAGTGAGTTCTACCCGGACTTAATCCTGGTGGGCACGGGGGTGCTGTAGGGTGGCTCAGGGGCCAGATGAGCTGTTAGGTACAGTGACTCCTAAGGCTCCCTCTGACTCAGGCCCTTGAGTAAACACCCGAACGAGCTCGTTGTCGCTTCCCTGGGGGCTCTGCCTAAGGCCCACGGGGTTGAGCAGGCTGAGGAAGGGTGGTCTTCCTCCTTCCCTGACGAAATAGGCGGGTGGACTAGGGTTGTTTGAGGCTGCATGAGATCTGTGATTGCCAGCAGAACAGACACCAAAGGCTCAGTTATTCCGTGGAGGGGCTGGGCCCGAGGAATCTGCCCGGGATTGCAAGTCCCAGCAGTAAAGGAGGAGAGAAAACCCACTCCGCAGCGTAATTCACCGGGGACATTTATAGAAACCTGTTCAACCCTGAGCGTCATCCCTGTCTTTGAAGTCAGTGTGCTTAAGTGACTAGGATCTGATCTGACACACGCTCTGGGGATTGGGCCTGGTAGTGGGCTTCAAAGGAGCCCTGGTGGCCCAGTGCTTACGCACTGGGCTGCTAACCCACAGTCGGCGGTTTGAACCCACCAGCTGAAAAGAAAGATGTGGCAGTCGGCGTGTGTAAAGATTATACAGTCTTGGAAACCCTAGAGGGTAGTTCTGCTCTGTCTTACAGGGTTGCTGTGAGTCGGAATCAACTCGAAGGCACCAAACAGCAAAAAGCAGCCTCTGGGGGGTGGGGAAAGAGGGCAGGGGTGGGCTTGGGAGGCAGGCAGACCTGCTCGCAGCCTGACTCTTCATCTGTAAAATGGGCATGATGATAATGTCCTGACCCGCAGGATAGTTCACAGCACCGAGAGGCGGAATGCACTTAATAAGTGTTAGCTGTTGCTATTCTTCTAACTTCTGCACCAGGGGACATCTGGCACAAAGCAACAGCGCCTTAAGGGCGACCCTGGCCCTCCTCCCTGCCGTGTTGTTGGATAAGGCAGCGCACTGCCTCTCTGACGCTTCACCTGTAAATCAGAGGACATAACTTACTTGTCTATTCCGGATCCCCGAATGTTAATGGGAAGGGTGCTTATCCTCCTGGAATGGGACAATTTGTGTTATCTGTTTCTCTTTATGTTCAAGGTGTGGTGTGGATATTCTGAGGGCTGCTGGGGATTTTTTAAAATGGATTTTTCCATTGCATCAGCCAAAGCGACTAATTTCTGGGATACGTTTGTGGGTTATTCCTGTCGTCTGTTGAGCGGTGGTTGTGTTTTGGTTTGGGGCTTCCCTCGAGAATGTAAGATACTTGATGTTTGGCTAGAATGTTCTCTTTTTGTCTTAAGGAGGTTTAGGTAACATGGCCCTGGTGGCACAGTCCATGTAGTGACTTGGTTCTTCATTTCTCCTGTCGTTCTAGTTTTCAATGGTTCCACCAGGTCGTCACGGGAGAAGGAACCTGTTCAGAAACACAGAAGCAAAGAGGCCACTCCCGGGAAGGAGAAGCACAGTGATCACCGGGCTGACAACCGCAGGGAGCCAGCCTCCGCAACCCACCCCCCAGCAGCCCCCTCCCCGGGCTCCGCCGCCAAGGGGCTCGCTGCTAACCACCACCACTCGCCCCTGCATCGGTCAGCTCAGGACTTACGCAAACAGGTAAAGGCCAGACCTGCGGTGGAGGGGACGGTGGGTGGCCAGGAGGGTGCCCGTGCGTGTGCCAAGTGCCACCTCCCATCTCACCGGTTAACTTAAGGGGAAGTGTGAGCAGTCGCCTCGAGAAACCCATTTCTAGAGGCTTCAGAAATCCGGCACGGCGCTCTGGGGTGAGAGAAGCGTTCCCTGTGCCCAGAGGGGCCAGTCCACGCGCCTTCCTCCTGTTCACGTTTATTAGCGCTTGGCTCTTGGTGATTCTCCTGTCCCTGGATGAGTGCCAGTCCACCAAGCGCCACCTTCTCTTTCCTCTTGTGATTTTGATGTGTGCTGGAAAAGCCAGGCGGGATTCTGTTGGCTTCATGACCTTTCACCCCTCCTGCCTACACGGTGACTTGTGGAATAACCGGGAAACCTTGTCACCTCTTTTCGGGACAGATTTTGAGTTAGGCAGAGGGTGGCTAACTAAGGCTTGTAAAGGGACGTGTGGCCGGAGTAGCATTGTCAGTGGGTGATCCTAGGGTATGTGTCACTTCTCTTTAACGAGACAGCTAGCATTAGACCATCAGGACTTGGGAGCAGACTCGCCTGGGCCTCTGCACTGCTGACGGGCTGTGCCGGGCGGCTCTCCTTCCCCTCGAGTCCCATGCCACACGACCAGCAGAACACAGGTGCTCCCTGCGCTGACTGCAGGGGGTTGGTCAGCTAGATACAGGTCCTGTTTGCTCATAGGAATGGCTTCAGGGCTCGGGCATTGCTGCTGTCCAGGTGTTCTTACCCTTGGTCGGTGATTTCTCACAACCCTGGCAGGCAGGTAGAGGGGATAAAGGCCTGAGGTGACAGGGACACTGCCCTGATAGAGTAGCGATTCAGCGTTCCTGCTCTTGTTCCTCATGCCTCGAGTTCAGTGAACCTTGGTCATTGGTGAGCTCGCCTTGATGGGTGCCGTCATGTCTGTTCCAACTCATAGTGCCCCCCAAAGTTTTCTGGGCTCTAATCTTACGGGAGCAGATCACTAGGTCTTTTCTCCCTCGGAGCCTGGGTGGATTCAAACCACCAGCCTGTCAGTTAGCATTCGAACCTGTACTCCACCCAGGCTTCTGCACTCTCCTCAGCTGGAATTTTAACACAGAGTTAAACTTGTCTCAAGGAAAGAAGTGGGGGAGCATGGTCGTTAAAGATCCATTCAGAGTGAGATGGGGTTGGAACACAAACAGCCTGAGGATACTAGAATTCATGCTTCTGCTGAAGCGTTCTTTACACGTGGTCTTTCTTAGTCTTGATACTGTTAGAGGATTTCTCTGTGTGTGCACACATGAATAGGTTTATAGTCACAGACAGGGAGATACGAATGTATACATACAATCATGTATTAATCTTCCGCCTTCAAACATTACTCAGTGGCTAGATTGAGTGGAGGCCCCACGTGTGTTTCCTCCTTCCTCGGATAGCCACGCCTTCATTCTTTGCGCTGTAATTTCAGTATTGAACAGGTGACTTCTAACGTATTATAAACGTTGGCGGCTTTCCCCGAAACATAGACTACACTCACAGTTTTCCTAGAGAACAATCAAGAGTGATAGTGGACATGGCCTCCCCCGAGCTGGGCCCCCGATTTTCAGGACTCAGGGAAAGAGTGCAGGGATTGCTGCCCCTTGGGTTCTGGTGCCTGATGAATTGCCCTCCTCCGGACGCCCAGGGCTTCTGGCCAGGTAGGAACTTGGGCAGACTCCCTGCAGGTAAGCAGAGTTAAGAACGCCCGGACTCACTGCCCTATCCGGCCTGCAACCACATGATGGGCTCGTTTTTCGTTGACCTTCTGTCCATCCCACTTTGCTTTTCAGCAGGCGTGAGTGTAAGGCATTCTTCCAGGACTGAGCTGCTGACTTTCTAACAGTGCAGCGTATTTTGGGCCACGTTAGGACTGGGTGTTGGATCCAGTCAAGCTGCAGAGTTTTCCCTCCTGACCCCAGAGGAGCCTCTGCGGGCTGGGATGCAGGGCTTGCTGGGTCCTCAGAAAGGGGTGAGTGTGGCTGTTTGTTCACACGTAATCACAGCGCACACACGTACGCACACTTCCTGCGCTCTCTCACCTCCTCCTGGCCTTGGGAATGAGAGCGCTAGCTGTAGGTGAATCGAGGGGCGTGGCAAGCTGCGAGCTGGGCCTTGCCCCAGAATGGCCCCCGCCCCCTTGCTCTGTGGCACAAAGGGGAGACCCTGGGGTGTCCCCTGCAGAGCAGATTCCTGCCTTCTTGATTCGTGTTAGGATGTTCGTGGACAGTGTCATAGAAAAGATGACATGTACTTTCAGACCCTCACTGGGCGTTTAACTGACAGGGCAGGTGTTTCCTTGGGGTTCCATCAACTGCTCCCCCACCCCACCTCCCTCTTTTCCGCAGATGGGACGACCCACTCCCACCTTCTTGGGATGGGATAGTTCACTTGTTCGTTGGGAGCCCGTGATGCAGATGCCTCTCACAGGGACGTGGGGAGAAATGAAAGGATCATTTTGAAACCATCAAATCCCGTTAGTTAAGTGCCCTGAAAATAAGGTCAATAAACGCAAATTGCAGATTCTTTGGTGTCTGGTTGACGCAAATGATTAGAATCTGACCTTTCGTCTCTTCAACCGCATAAAAGATGGGGGCCCAAAGGAGACGCTGATCTTTAATCTCGAATACGATTTATTTTTTTATGTCAGCATGAAAGAAAGGGGATACATGTGATTGCACGAAACTTCGGTGGAAGGGATGGAGGGATGGAGGCTTTGTTCTGCTTGCTCTGATGTGTGTGGAGGCCCTGTCTCACAAACCATGTTTTATGGCCCTAAAACATCCCCCATTACCCTGAATAACGCTCTATGATAGTTCCTGTGCTTTATAAGGAGTCCCTGGGGGGTGTAAACAGTTCACCCATTTGGCAGCTAACCAGGTTGGAGGTTCGAATCCAGCCAGAGATGCCTTGGAAGAAAGGCCTGGTGAGAACCCTGTGGAGCGTTCCTCTCTGACACTCAGGAGGTGGCCTTGAGGCAGAGTCGACTCCCCGGCCGCTGGTTACTAGTTCCGCTTTATAAAGGCCTCTCACTGACATGGGAGCATGTGAGCGTTCAGCTCACCGATGCTTTTTCCTTGATGTGAGGGGCCTGGTGGCCCTGTGTGTGATAGATCTCTGTCCCGTGGAGGTTAGCACTGTGAGGATGACAGTGTTGTTACCTGTCAGAGAGTTGCCCCCCGGCTCCTGGCTAACCCGTGCACAGCAGAAGGAAACACGGCCCGCTCCTGTGCCATCCCCGTGGTGAGTTGCCGATAGGATTGTTAGGATCCATAGGGTTGTCATTGGCTGAGTTTTTGGAGGTAGATGGCCAGGCCTTTCTTTCCAGTCCGTCTTAGTCTGGAAGCTCTGTTGAAACCTGTTCAGCGTCACAGCAGCACACAAGCCAACACTGAAGAGTGGGTGGTGGCTGCGCATGAGGTGCATTGGCTGGGAATTGAACCCAGATCTCCAGTATGAAAGGCAAAAATTCTACCACCGAACCACCACTCTCCTCGTGTGTAATGGCAGCCCTGGAATATTCTCAGTGGGCAGCATCCACTGCTCCTGGATGATCATTTCGATGTGGTGCGTTTCTAGCAAAGGAGTTAATGAGTTGGTTTGCCTAAAATAGTTACTTCCACTTAAATACAATAAAAGACAGGAGCAAGTTCAGGAAGGTAAAACAGACGAGTCGACGCCTGGAGAGTTTTGAAACGTTAGTTGTCCAGGAGCATGGCGAGGCGGTGTTATGTTTGTGCAGAGATGTGTGAGATCACTGAGCTGGGCTGTGGGTTGGAATGTGCAGGGCCCCTGAATGTGCTCACCTGTTCCTACTTACAGCATTGCTGGCCGAGCTGTAACTTGTGTGCCCCTCCCACGGGCAGCCAGCGGGCCGATTGGCAGGAAGGAGATGGGCTGAGTGCATCACCATGGAGGGCATTGGTTTCCATGGAAATCTACTGGGCTTGCAGGGGAGACCTGGCCTTACGCAATTCAGAGAGAGGCTTAAGCTCTGTCCAAACCAAAGATGTTGGAACCTTCTATGCTCAGTTCTGGAAACTGAAAAATGACTAGTATGTCAGAAATGGCGCCAGCTAGAAAAATGGTTTAGACGCTTTTCTCAGTTTCCTCAGATTGTACGTGTGGTTTGAATTACACGTGTCTGTCCTGTGGTTTCTGTGACTCAGTTACATTGCCTGGAGTGAGAGCTGGTGTTTTAAGAAGACTCAGGGACCCTGCCAGAATCCAGCTTTGGAACACAATGTTGGCTGTGGCCTTGCTCTCGTGAATGTTTGCCTCCACTGTCCTGGTTAAAGATCCCTGGGTGGTGCTAAGGGTTAATGCGCTTGGCTGATGACCGAAAAGTTGTAGGTTTGAACCCACCCAGAGGCACCTCAGAAGAAAGGCCTGGTGATCTCCTTCCAAGAAATCATTATTAAAACCCTACGGAGTGCAGCTCTACTCTGACACACGTGGGTCCGCCATGAGCCGGGGTCCACTTGATGGCAGTGGGTTATTGATTTTCATCAATGCCACTCTCTGCCGTTTTCCTAAAGAAGGGGCCTCCCACACCAGGAGACATCCCTTCCCTGTCCGTAACTGCCTGCCCAATGGAGTCTTCATTTTAGGCTCCTTCGTTCTTTAATTCAAGTTTTAAAGTCCAAAAGGAAATCCAGACAAAAGTAAAACTATCCCAAACTTAGAAATGTTTCTCTCTCTGGAGTGTGCTCTCTGCAGACTCACCCAGCTCAATGGCGCCCTCTCGTGGGATAGGAGAGCATGACAGCTGAATCCGCAGTTTGCTAAGGACTGAGCAGTGAGCGTGGGCGACCAGCAGTTTCCGTTCGTTCACTGGATATGTTTGTCGACTCGTTTCTCATCTTCTGCTCTGCGTTGGAAATGTGGGGTTTTCTTTTTCCTGTGTCCTTATATTGAGTTGATCCGAAGCATTGTGTGTGAGAATGGTGTGTGGCCCCAGCAGAAAGGGTGGGGAGGATTTTATATTCATACAGTGAGGACACAGTCATATCATGTATGTGTTTATAATGAAAGTTCACTTGTTAAAAAGTCAAGAAGGAACGCTGGATAGTAGCCTGGGGATTTCATATCCTTTTGTAAGAAAAATAAGTGGTTACTTTCTCGGAGATGTGAGAACTAGTTCAGTTGAATATAACTCTTAAGTTTCTCAGCTCTCAGCCTTCCACATTATTGGTATCTCTCTTGCTTCGGTAACCAGTGGGATTTCTGCTCCTCCTTTACCTCACCTTTTGGTGGAACAGGGTAGCCACCCCGACCGGAGGTGGTGGCTTTGGGCTGCTGGTGCCCAGGAAGGGGGCCTGGCGTGTGGTTAACAGGGAATTGGTTGGGTGTCAGGAGCCATCCCTATTAGATCTGCTCCTGAGAGGTGGGGTTGTGGCCCTAAGCACCGTGGCCAGCCCTCCAGAAAGGCCCAGACACACCTGGCTGAGCAGTGCCTTTCAGCATCCTCGGTCTCCTCGGGACAGGTCGCTGTGAACCTTGCTGACCGTGCGGTGTTGGTGGGTGGCTGTGGGCCCAGGAGAACACGCTGCAGACACCTCACTTCCTGGAGTGGAATTAAGGGTGCGGGGAGGGTGGGAGGAATGTGTAAAGCGGGGTGCAAAGACAGAAACCCCAACCAGACCTGAGAGAAGAGATCTGCATGTAACGTTATTCCGCTTGAATGTCGTGCGTTGTGGGTCCTGCCCTGAGCCACCTTGTGTTAATTCTCCGCTGAGGTAACGTGCCTTCTCTCCGATGCGCTCAGTGGAAACACGGCCTTGGAAGGCGCTGCAGTGACCCCAGAACCCTGTGGTGAGCTGGCCTCGGGACCTGGCCTTTGGTTAAGCTGACACTCAGTGTGTGTGGTTTTCTTTGCGGGCGCCTCAGCGGCAAGGTAAGAAAATGCCTTCCTCCGTTACTTTGTTTTCTTTGGTGCCAGTTACATACTGGATTCTTGGAGACACGTACACGCCAAAGAGTGGGCCTCTGTTGTCAGCGAGGTTGGTCCTGGGTGTGTTCACCAACAGTGGAACTGGCCGCGCGTTGGCTCTGTTTTATCTCTACCTTTAGGACACATGGCACAGCTTTGGGGACGGATTGGTTCCTGCGTTAGCTTGTCAGCTGCGTCGTGGTCTCCACTGGTAGGGGTGGGCCGTGGGGAGGGATGGGGAATACCGTCAGGGAGACACGCCCTTTCCCATGTTCTCAGCTACTTCCCTCCCAGTTAAAGTTCATTGTCTGCCCTGGGTTGTAGGGGGAGATATATTTAGTCTTCAAGCTTGTTACATGGACATGCACGTGCACGTTTGGGCAGATGCTTGTGAAGATAACTGTTACAATGGTGGGAAGGACATGAATAGAGGAACTCAGTGTTCAGGTAGGACAAGTAAGTTGGCTGCGTGTTTTTGTGATAAGCAATATGTGAGGACCAAGCTGATCCTTCTGCCATTGAAGATGGAGAACCTCATCATACGGGAGACTCCCCTCCCTGGGACATAGCTTGGTGCCCACGAGAAGCCAGGGGGATGGATCCAAGGCCCATGCACTCTCCGTGGAGCTGAGAATATTGGAGGTTTAGATTCTGGCTTCCTAGCCCCCGCTGATAATCCATGTTGGGGAAGGGCGGGAGCCAAGTATCCGTGGGAATACTAACCACTCCGGGAGCTTGTAAAATACAGACTATGGCTTATACCCTCTTCAGCTAAATCAAAATTCTGGGGGTGGGACTAGGGAGACCACACTTTTTAAAACATCCCCCCCCACCACCACCACCACTGGGGGATCCTCAGGGGTCCCAAGTTTGAGAAGCGCTGATGTAAACCTCAGCAGTTATTGATGGCTGAGAGCTGGGGAGGACATCGTGATAGGCAGGTCTGGACAGTGGTTCCCATGTGCACGGGTGATTCCTTCTCCAGCGTCAGAGGAGATGAAGCCACATTGTGCAGTCCGCTTAAGGGTGAAATGGTGTAGAGTTGGAACAAGCTGTCCCCTAAATGGTTAAAAGATTGGACACCTAAGGGGGCGTGGTCATCCGTGCTCTGGAGAACCCAGCCATTCTCCGAAGACTGTCCGTGATGGAGAGGTCTCTCTGAGCCACAGCAGGACTTTACTGTTTGTGTTTTTCTGAGGTTTCATTTGTTGTTAACAGAACCATTTGAAAGAACAGATAAAAATTAGAGGTGTTTGTATTCTGTACCACGCCTCCTACTCCAAACGATGGTTCTTCCCATAGGATGGATGTCTGTCTCTGTCCCCACCTCTGGTTTTCTAAATTTGTTTTCAATGTATCATTGCCAGGCTGCTTTTTGTAAAAATTTCCCATTACTTATTCTAGACACATCTCTTTCCCATCAGTCCCGTAGGGTGTGGCTAGCAGTTGAGGATCAAGGATGTATGTCCTGGCCTTGCCTTCAGCCTCTCCCAGGAGGCTTTGGATCCTGGCTCCTGTGGTAGGCAACACCCAGTCCCAAAGCCAGGCATGGTTCGCTGAACACCCTTGGGGTGGCCCCTGGGATACAGTTTTGTATCAAGGATTTATGGCTTTGATTGGACAGATACCATTGGTGACATCTAGAGAAGTATGGTCTTAAATCTTAACAATTTCTTCTGTCTGTTTTCAGAACTGCCGCTACAAAGTGATAGTTTGGTTCAGTGGTTCCCAAAGTGGGGTCCCCAGTCCAGTAGCATAGCATCACCTGGGGCCTTGTTAGGAATGCACATTCTGGGGCCCCTCCCCAGACCTGCCAGGTGAGAAACTCCGGGGGGTAGGGCCCAGACATCTGTTCAAGAAGCCCTCCTGAGGATTCTGTGCAGTCATGGGTGGGAACCACCGATGGGGATACCTGCAGGAGAGTCGGATTTTTTTTTTCCCTTTTCTTTCCCTCACTTAAGTGCCATAGACGTCCTCCTGGGCTAGGCCTGGCGAGGGAGGCAAAGGTCAGTGAGACGCAGTCCCTCCTCTCCGGGAACCTCATGCTGGGGAGGGCTGGTCGACTGCCTCGTGGGCGTTGAGCGGGGCTCATCCGCCGGGCACAGCCAGACAGGCACTTGCAGAACCGTATCTTACACACGAGGAAACGTAAGCGTCTCTGACTCTGGAGCACAGACCTGGCCGCCCTGTCACCTTCCCGTCTGGGTTTCTGCCATTTCCTGGTAAATGTGTAATCCTTCAGCTGCCTCGTTTGGAAGGGTGGCGGTGGTGGTTATGCAACCCTGGAGTCCCGCTTTCTGAATTCATACGAAAAATCGGGGCCCCGGGAGGTTGCGTGACTTGTCGGGGGCCACTCAGCTGTGTTCTCCGGTGGAGCCGGCAGGTGAGGTCCACCACAAATCCACCAAGCCCAGCCGTCCCGTGGTGGTCCCGTCTTCCTCCTCGTGTTGAGGTTAACGCGTTTCTGATGCCAACCGTGCCACACCTGTCTGCAGCCCCTGTGGACGTGAGGGGTCTTTCTGGCCACAGGTTGCCCCAGTGTCCAGCTGTCCAGGCCACGCAGAAACACTGCTGCTGCTTGGGCAGTTCCCGTGGTCACGGTGGGAGGATAAGAGCCACACGTGCAGAAGACAGCGTGAGTGTTTGCCTCACCAAAGAGGTGCGGTGTGCCCTGTTAGATCCAGTGAGGCACGCTGTGGGCCTGACCTCCCAGGTGACGAGGGACAGACAGGCAGATGCTGACATCAGCAGCCGCGTTTCTGGGCTTGGAGTGTGGCCGTGCCCGAGCCAGCCCAGATGCATGTTCTTTCCCTTTCAGTTGGGTTGTGTTTATGTTTCTTTTAATACGTAAGTTTTAAATTTGCGTGGGTAGATTATGCTGTATGTGGAATACCCAGACGGCAAAAAACATGTTTTTTTCTTGAAACAGGGATAGATAAACAGATAGAAGTGCTTTTTTTGTCCCCAGTTGGGCGGGATCTGGCTATTGTAAACTCTCCTAACCGTGTGACAAGCGATTGGTATGCACACAAACACGGAATTTCTGGAAGAGCCATGGGAACAAACACGGGTGTTCAGACGCACCAGGAATCACAGCTCCAGAGCACCTGTCGGTGAGGGGGTCTGTGTGCAGGAAGATAGGCGTGCGGTAGCACTAGCATCCTGAAACTGAGTGTCACAGCGTTTTTAGTTCACAACGGTGTCCCGTGCTGCCCTTTGCGGGGTCACCCTGTGATGCAGGCAGGCAGCCAGTGTTCCCCAGCGCACGGTCCGCGGCCGTCCAGCTCAGCAGGCACTAATTCTGCTTTTCCTCTCTGCCCCTCCTGCTCCCCTCAGGTCTCCAAGGTGAACGGAGTCACTCGAATGTCGTCCCTGAGTGCAAGTGCGAGCAGTGCCAAAAAGATGCGCGAAGTCAGACCTTCACCGTCCAAAACTGTGAAGTACACTGCAACAGTGACTAAGGGGACCGTCACATACACCAAAGCCAAGAGAGAGCTGGTCAAGGAAGCCAGCCTCAATCACCACAAGCCCAGTTCCGCTGTCAACCACACAATCTCAGGGAAAACTGAAAGTAGCAATGCAAAAACCCGCAAACAGGTGCTATCCCTCGGAGGGCCGTCCAAGGCCGCCGGACCTGCCGTCAACGGCGTCAAGGTCAGTGGCAGGTTGAACCCAAAGTCATGCACTAAGGAGGAGGGAGGGCGGCAGCTGAGGGAGGGGCTGCGGAATTCCAAGAGGAGACTGGAAGAGGTACACCAGACGGATAAACCGCAGTCGCCCCCCAAGAAGATGAAGGGGGCGGCCGGTGCTGCCGAAGCCCCAGGCCGGAAGGCAGCCCCGGCGGCCCCCGCGGAGAAGCCTCTGCTGAACGGACACGTGAAGAAGGAAGTGCCGGAGAGAAGTTTGGAACGGAACCGGCCCAAGAGGGCCACGGCCGGTAAGAGCACGCCAGGCAAACAAGCACACAGCAAGACGGACAGCACTTCCTGTGAAAATCGTTCTACCTCGCAGACCGAGTCCTTGCACAAGCCCCACGACGCGGCGTCGGGCAGGCATGAGAAGGGCTGCAGCAAGGCCGGGTGGGCGGCGATGGACGAGATCCCCGTGCTCAGGCCCTCTGCCAAGGAGTTCCACGACCCGCTCATCTACATCGAGTCAGTGCGCGCTCAGGTGGAGAAGTTCGGGATGTGCAGGGTGATCCCGCCCCCGGACTGGCGGCCGGAGTGTAAGCTCAACGACGAGATGCGGTTCGTGACGCAGATCCAGCACATCCATAAGCTGGGTCGGCGCTGGGGCCCCAACGTGCAGCGGCTGGCCTGCATCAAGAAGCACCTCAAATCTCAGGGCATCACCATGGACGAGCTCCCGCTCATAGGTAAGGCTGCAACGCACAGGCCTGCTCCGTAGGCCTCTGGACCCCCTCCCCGCCTGCCCTTGCAGAGACCCTGGAGGAGTGGGCCTCCCTGAGCTCACTCACGTCTCTCCTCAGCCCTGGGTGTTTGTGGCTGCAGGAGGGTTGGTATTTGCATTAGCTACCTAGCTCTGTCGTAACAAGGTTCCACAGGCTGGACAGCTTACAAAACCAGAATGGTTTTATTTAATGATTATTTCTAGTGTCTCACAGTTCCAGAGGCTGGGATTTCAAGATGAGCTGTGTTGACTCCTTCTGAGGCTCTGAGGGAGTGTGTTCAGCCTCTCTCCCAGCCCCTGGGGGCTCCAGGCGTTCCATTTCTTGTAGATGCAGCGCTCCCCCTCTCTCTGCCTCCACGGTTCCTGTCTGTCTGTCTCTGCATGCTTTGTACAGACACAGCTCCTATTGCATTAGAGCTCCACCCCTGTACTCTAGTTTGTCTTCGTGGGAATGGATTACACCTGCTGAGACCCTGTTTCCAAATAAGGTCACCTCCACAGGTACAGGATTAGGATTAACACACCTTCTGGGTGGACACCATTCAGTCCACTCGGGGCTGGTGGATTTAGATGTCGGGTGGACTCTCACTCCCCAGCTGGCCTGTCCTGGCACCTGCTGACCACACAGCAAGTCCTCGCCAGCAGCTGTGCGGTCCTGCCTGTCGCACCCCGCCCAGCGTTCTGACCTGGCCTCCCACCTGGGCTCAGAGCAGTGTCCAGGCGAGGCAGGAGGAGCGTTGCCCGTCCAGCCTGCAGCCTGTCTCGCTCTGCTTATTTACCATCCCGTCCTCCTCATCTCTTTGTCTCCACATATCTCCTTAAGCTTCTGTTGCTCTGGTGGAGCTTCTGTCACCCGTGGAGGTCACAGGAGGGGCAGGCTTACCCTCCTAGACCAGGCGCCTCTCTGGTGGAGCTTCTGTCGCCCATGGAGGTCACAGGAGAGGCAGGCTTACCCTCCTAGACCAGGCGCCTCTCTGGTGGAGCTTCTGTCGCCCATGGAGGTCACAGGAGAGGCAGGCTTACCCTCCTAGATCAGGTGCCTCTCTGGTGGAGCTGCTGCTGGCCACTTAGTGAGTGGACATGCTGGTGATGACGGGGACTCTGGGCACAGCCCCCTGCCCTTTCCTACCTGACTGGGCCCTGCAGGGTGCTGCTTCCCTTCAGGGTCGGTAAGGTGAGGTCGCATACTCCCTTTCAGCTTTAGACCAGGACCTGAAGTGAGGAGTCTGCCCGCCTCCATTTCGGAGATCTGATTTCTCAAAGGCAAGGAGACATTTAACATGAAATTGGCAGGAAGACGTGGCTCATTGCAGAACGGAGGCTTCATTATTCCTCTCGGAAGGAGGCTACCAAGGTGGAGGCCTGTGTGAGAGTCGCCTAATTTGAAAGGATTCTTGGTTTGGGGTCTCCTGTCATGGATGACACGCCATAGACACCGTGACATGGGGCTGCAGGGACAGAGCCGGGCATGGTTGCCGAGAAGCCTCAGCCGTGGAAGAGCGCCTGGGGTGGTTGTAGGCTGCCCCACGTGAGTGCCCGGGCCCCTGGGACACCCAGAGATGGGAGTGCACAGCCCGGGCGTCTCCTGACCAGAGTGGCACCTGGGGGCCAGAGTAAAGTGTCCCCGATTCCCCCTCCCTGCTGCGCACGTGGAGGTTGTCTGTGGGCAGGTGAGCAGCACAGATGGCATTGACGGTGACCACCAGCAACCTTGTCTCCGTGTGAAGTTTGTTTGGGTGACCTTGAGTCACGAAAGGCGACCACAGTGTACGTTTTTATGCTCTTTGCCATGACGTAAGAGTTTACAGCATTTTAGTAATCTTGGAAAGGGGTACCAACCTGGCACGTGGCTGGATTGGACTCAGACCTACGGATCTGGGTTCAACCATTAGCTGTGGGAGGTGCTTAGTAGTTTTGAAGTAACTTCCCAGAACCCACCGGGATGGGCGTGCCTTGTCGTGTGTATGTATGTCAGTGTGCACACCCCCCCCCCCCCGCACCCCGAAAACACACACCCTTGGCGACTCTGAGCCTCGGGAGAGAGAGAGAGCATGGCTGTGGTGAGAGGGGACCTGAGGGCCTTTAGCTCCTAACCCACTTCCTGCCTCTCTATGTCGACCCCCGTGAGTCTGTTTCCTCTTTTTAAATGAGGGGGGATCATAGTTGGTGAGGCTTGCACGGAATAACTTATTTGCAAGCAGTGTATCACTCCAAGTGCTGTTGGACGATAGTGATCTGCTTACAGAAAAGATGCCCTCCGCGGTGCAAATGATGGAACGCTTAGCTACTAGCCGAAAGGTTGGTGGTTCAATCCCACCCAGCAGGTCAGTGGAAGAAAGGCCTGGCCGATCTCCTTCCGTAAAGATGACAGTCAGGAAAACCCTGTGGAGCACAGTTCTGTTCTGACACACATGCGGTCTTCACGAGTCGTAAATGACTCGATGAGAACTTGCAGAAAAAGACAGCATTTCCAGTTTCCTCCTTTCTTGGTTGACCTGTTACCTGAGCTCCTTCGGCAAGGTTTGTGTGACTCCTTTCATTTTCTGCCTCCAAGAGACAGGACAGAATGGCCGGGGTCCCGCCTGCAACTGACAGTCTTTGCAACCCGAGTGGACCATGGACTCTCAGGCACCCTCATTTCCCTGGTTTGGGGAGGTTTCCTCAGTGATGATCCCCCTGCTACTCACTTGCCCACAGACAGCCAAGTCCACCGTTCAAGTGCAGTAAATGGAATTCAGGAGCTTTCACTCCCAGGCTCCGGTCTCGGTGGTAGACGGGCGGACTCTTTGTCATGATGGTCCACGCCCTCACTGGGTTCCGCAGGGCCGGGTGTCTGCTGGGTTGGCCTGCTCCAGGCACTGAGGGGGGTTCTGAGGGTTAGGTTGCAGGAGCCATAAATACATCTCCACCGTCTACAAATTCATAGTTTTCTTAATTTTCTCTTTGCTCACCTAGCATTTTATTGAATATTTACCTCAAAATAGCCTATGGGAACCAGTGGTCAGAGGGAGGTAGTGTTTCTGGGCCACATCTAGGTCGGGTCCCTGGGACTTGCATGTAAACACATTTGAATTTTGTGCACTTGTCCAGTTCTGTCATTTGATGAATGGACGTAGTGGAAATGGGAGTATGTCTCTTTCTGTTTCAAGCAGTCTGTCTGTCTGAGTGGGCCGTGGTAGGAGCTGAGAGACAGACGGCCCATGTGCCCTCACTCCATTGCTTCCTGTCACCCTGGAAAAGCAGTGGGATTAAAAATAAATTACTCTGTGTGTTGGGAAGGGAGCCGGGGGACTGAGACAGGTGTCGTGTGGCTGAGCTCACTGATGTCGAGGTTGTCCTGACGGATGCTGGGGCCCCTGTGTGGCCAGGGGCTGAGCCAGGACCTGTCCCTCCCTCATTACCAGCAACGGGCTCCGAATCCTTGACCTGCTTCTTCCTGGTGTGTCAGGGCGCAGCAGCAGGGCTGTGCTGACTCCAGACCCTGGAATGTGCCCCCTACACACCTGCAGGACCTCCTGCCAGTCACGTGTGTGCCTCAGTGTTTCCCGCTCGGGACCACCCTCCCTGGCCACCCGCCTCTTCCTCTCGCCCTTCATCTCATCTGCTTTATTCAGCGTCACAGCACGTGACCCTTACCCAGCAGCATTTAATGTCTGTCTCTCCAATACGTAAGCACCCTGAGGGCCAGAAATTTTGTTGGCTGTTCTAATAAGCTCACAGCCTGTGAGTCCCAGGCATGTAGTAGGCATTCGGGAGCTGTCTGTGGGATGAAGAAGTTGTTTTTGCTTGTCATTTTAACTGGTCACGCCCTGTGTTTCCCTCCCCTGTCCTTCCTGGCTGCTCCGTCCCAGGAGGCTGTGAGCTCGACCTGGCCTGCTTTTTCCGGCTGATTAACGAGATGGGCGGCATGCAGCAAGTGACTGACCTCAAAAAATGGAACAAACTCGCAGACATGCTGCGCATCCCCAAGACAGCCCAGGACCGGCTGGCCAAGCTCCAGGAGGCCTACTGCCAGTACCTGCTCTCCTACGACTCGCTGTCGCCCGAGGAGCACCGGCGGCTGGAGAAGGAGGTGCTGATGGAGAAGGAGAGCCTGGAGCGGCGGAAGGGGCCCCTGGAGGGCCACATGGAGCACGACCACAGCAAGTTCCACTCCCTGCCCCGCTTCGAGCCCAAGAACGGGCTCATCCACGGCGTGGCCCACAGGAACGGCTTCCGCAGCAAGCTCAAGGAGGTGGGCCAGGCGCAGCTCAAGACCGGCCGGCGGCGGCTCTTTGCTCAGGAAAAGGAGGTGGTCAAGGAGGAGGAGGAGGAGGATAAAGGCGTCCTCAGTGACTTCCACAAATGTATATATAAGGTAGGCCTCCTGCACCTGCTCTGCACCCTTGCCCCATGTCAGGTTCCACAGGGGCAGATGCAGGGATGGGGCGGCAAGGGGATTGTGTGGACGGGACGGGTGTCCTAGAATGCCCTGCACCCCCGCCCCAGGCTGCAGGGATGGGGTGGGAAGGGGATTGTGTGGACGGGACGTGTGCCCTAGAATGCCCTGGTAGAGTGAAGGGGTGCCCTCACCACAGGGCAGGGAAGCAGCCAGGCAGCCTTCCCTGGGACATGCCCGTTTATAATAGAGGAATGTGCGGAGTGTCGGGGTGTGGAGTGTCCGGGTGGTCAGGCCTGAGGACAGCCGGCCAGCTGTGGGCCAGCCTGGCTCTGCCACTGGCGAGCCCCTCGTCGTCTGGGCCGTGGTTTGCTTCATCCAGTGAACAGTGTGTCGGGAGGTGGCGAGGCAACCAGAGTACGTTGAGTTCCTCCTCCGCGCCCACGTGTGTCTGCCGCTCTGACCCCATCATCCCGCTCTGGTGGACCTGAGCTGCCCGGAGGGGCCGGGGCTTCTCAGACTGGCCAGACCCTCACGTTTCCCACCCTCCTCCTCATCATTCCTCGCAGCCTGCCGCCCCCTGCTCCCAGCCCGGCTCTGCCAGCCCCTCCTGGGGAGAGCAGTCCCCTGATAAAGCTGTCAACGCCGATGGCACCATTAACACGCTGCCGAGGGCGGGCGGGGAGGAACTGGCAAAGGAAGCGTGCGCAGTGTTTTCCCCAGTTCTGCCAAATCTTGTTGCGGCACCAGCTGCCCGAGAAGACTGACTCCTCCAAGAAGTGAGGCGAAGTCCCGCTGACTCTTAGCTTGGCGGCCTGGCCCCCCTGGGGCTGCCTCCCTCTCGTGCCTGTAGGGAGCAGGAGATCAGGCCCCCCAGCCTGCGGGCCCCGGCTGTGCCCTCCAAATCGTCATCAGAATTGCCCAAGGTTTCAGGGGTGCACGCTTCACCCCGGCGATCCAGTTCTGGGTTTATTAGGAGCAGAGTTCTTTGTGGTGAGGCCTCGGGGGTCCTTACCCAGGGAGTCCCCACCCTCTTGATGTAGTCGTGTTGTGTGTGGGCTAGTTAGTTTCCGTTGCCTTTGAAATTGCCTGTTAGAGTCCGGTCAGAATGGGGGTGTCACCTCACACACCCACCAGGCCCCCTGCCATGACCTCACCACAGACGCCGGCTCAGGGCCCTGCTTCTGAGCGGCTGAGACTTTTCAGAAATACCCAGCAGGAATCTGTGGCGTGTCTGTAGGGTATTCCGTCTGTTGGCTGTCTGAGTCCAGGGCCAGATTTCACACTCCTTCTGCCCTCTGCTACACTTTTAGTTTTTCTCCTAGACTTTAAGCTCTTGCACTGTTCTGGAAAGAGATGATCCTGCTTGCCCACAAGTTATTCTCTTCTTAGACCCAGAAAGGGTCGTCTTTGCTGAAAACAGTGTTGCCTGTAGAGATGGCACGCCAGGTCGGAGAAGACCGTCTGCAGCCTGATGGTAGCCTTCTTGGACTTGAAGTGTTAAATGTTTCCGTGAAAAAGGAGAAGTCGCACAGGCTATGAATAAACTCTGGAGCTCTTTTTTGGGTGTTTACTGCACGTTCCTGGAGCAGGCCGCCTATACTGTTGGTCAGTTAAAGCCACTCGTTAAACCTGTGACCCATGAAACGAGAGAGGATTCAGCGTGTGTTACTATTTAGTTAAGAAGGGTAATGCTGTGAGACTGAGTTAGATCAAGTTAAGACTTCTTTGAAAAAACGGTCCGTCCAAGGGTGTCTTTAGGTGGAGCTTGATGGTGGTGGTCTGGTGGCCGTGGAGGTGCGGCCGGAGGGCCCCTGCTCAGCCAGTGGGGCCTGGTCACGGGGTTCCCTGCAGCCGCTCAGGACCTGAGGTGTTGAACACCAGGTGGCAGCGTCTTCAAATTCCAGGTTCTCCGTCCGCTGCACTCTGCTTACTTGGTGCAGAAGCAGGTCCTTTGTAGTGATTCTGTTTTTATTTTGTAAGAAACAGTGTTGGGAGAAGTTTGAAACCATATGGAAGTGTTTTCTTTTTGCTAGAACCCCATTTAGTTCCTTATAAAGTTGAAAGCAAAGCCAAACGCCAAAATCTACGTGCTGAACCGCTGTGACTGTACTTCTCACCCTAAAGTTCCAAAGGAAGGACAGTGCGGAACCCCTGCTAGAACCTGTTGCTCTTTCTGGAGATGCTCAGATGACACCTGCTATTAAAGCCGGCCCTGAGCGCCCTCCCTGGCCACGGTCTGTAACTGCGTCTGCCTGGTGTCTCCTGGGTTAAAGGCTGCCTTCCCCACATGGAAGGCAGCCCCCGAGGGTGGAGAGCTTGTCTGTTTTCTTCACTGCCCTGTCTCCTGTCTGGAGAACTGGGCCTAGTACACCATAGGCGCTCAATAAATGCTTCTGGAACAAAGGAATGGAAGTGCCCGGCCAAGAAAGGGGGAAATGGGGATCTTAGATGCCTCTGTAGGAAAGAATATTTTCTCTGTGATAGTTAAAACAGGAAACAATTCAGGATTCCCAAATGTTAACAAGTGACGCGTCTGTTAGAAGAAGCAGGAAGGTATTTTCCCAAAGCGAGCAATTCATCTTGAATATTACTGGGGAAGGACCTCAGAGGGGGGTGTTAGCAGTCTGAAGCTCTGCAGGCTCTCCCCTGCCAGCCGCAGGGGAACACAAAGGGGACAGTGAGTGGCTTTTGTGGTGAGAGAGGGGTCAACTGCTGCCTCCCTCAGGTTAACCAGGCCAGGCTGCCCACCTGGCCAGTTTTCATGTGGCGAGACCCTCAGGGTGTGGAAGTCACCCTCATTTTCTGTCTTTGGGGACCTCCAGGGGTCTCTGACAGACAGGTGCTCCATTCCTGTCTCCAGGATCCTGGTGCACGAGTTGCAGCCAGTTGCAGTCTTGATGCTGTTGGTGTCTTCACTGGACGTCTGGGCCGTAAGGGAGGTTGGCTAAGTTAGGCAGGGTGCGGCCTTCCTACCGCCCCGCAGGGAGTAAACGGAGAACTGGTGCCTGTTGCTCTGTGTTGCACCCATTTCTCCCGTAAAGCGAAAGCTGTGGTTCTTAGAAGTTCTTCTCAGGCCGCACATGGTCATCTCCTCTGGCCTTCAGTCCTCAGCGCCTCTCTCTCTGGAGGATGACGTGTCAGCCTGCTCCTGGGGGTGGCGATGCTTAGTGGTGTTTTCAGTCCCCTGTTGTTGGCACGGATGACTCTTCTAGGAGAGGCTTCTTGGAGAATACCTTCCTGCCTTCTCTAAGCACCTTTAACTCGGAGTCTCACTGGCTGTGGCACCCAGGAAGTACGAGGGCAGAGGCCTGAGGTGGGCGGCGGTGGCTTCATTTGGAGTTAAGATTTAGCTCTTGTTTCTTAAACTTGACTCTGCTGTGTTTGTTTGGTTTTCAGGGAAGGTCTGTTTCTTTAACAACTTTTTATCGAACAGCGAGAAATATCATGAACATGTGCTTCAGCAAGGAGCCTGCACCAGCCGAAATTGAGGTGAGTCAAGTGACCCCCGTCCTGCCTCTTGCACCTTTGGGCTCCATCCCTCTGGCCTCCTGATGCCTGGTGGCCTGAGAGGACGTGAACCTTGACGAACTTTGTCCGCCATATTGAATGTGTGCCAGGGGGCGGCCAACAGTTTTCACTTGTGTTACAATCTCAGCGTGGTTCAGAAGTCAGAAACAGCATTCTGAAGAGGGAACCCCCTGGCTTCTCCTTGGCCTGCCCACATCCGGGGGCTGTGAAATGCAGAGTCCGAGGGTTAACTCTGGGCCCAGCCCCACGGCTACACACCCGCGGCTGCTTCTCTCCATCCTCTGCGTGTTATCCAAGAGAATGCTTGGAGTCCCTGGAAACCACAGTTGTGCTTTTCTTTTCTCCTGCTTTTTTTTTTTTTTAAATGGGATTGGCAGGTTGCCATTTTTGTGCTTCTGCCAACTCTGTTCTTTGAGTTAGTGTGAGGTTCCAAAGGCCTCGCGCAGCTCTCTGCCCAGACCAGTTAGGAGCTGATTTTGTACAAGGTGCTACAGGACGGAGCCTAGGTCTGTTTATTTTCCTCCCTCGCTGGTGCCCAGCTGAGGCCGTGTGAACTCGAGGCTGACGTCGGCGTGCCCCTGACAACCCTTGGTCATTTAAAGGGAAAGAAACCAAACTTGGGTCGTGGCTGACAGGGCGGCTGCCAGCTGGGAAGCAGGCGTGTGTGGACTGCAGCTTGTCTCTCAATGTAGCAGTGTTCGTTTGTCTCCTCCTGGTCTGTGACTGTGTGTGCCACCACCTTTCAGTACAGTTCAGTGTGGGTGTGTCCAGCGTGTGCACGCTGACCTCGAGGGCAGCCAGCCGTCCTGCTTGGCCCAGGACATGCGAGGTTTCCCAGGGTGTGGGACAGGACTGCCCTAGCCAGACCAGGTCCGTTGTACACATGGAATTGGTCGGGTGTGGTGTTGTAACTATCTGAAGAAGCCCAGGAAGCCGGTCCTGGTGCTGAAGCCTTGTTTGTGGTGAATTCCACTGTGCTCGTAGCTTGGTTTGCATTCCCTTTAGGCCTGGGGTCTCTGTTCATCAGCCTGGTCTGTCTTAACCCTCTACCCACGGTGCTGCCTTTGAACCCCACGCTGTAGACAGACACCTCCACCCCATTCCATCCCCACTTTGGCTTACCCCCCACCCACCATGTGGCTGTGGTTACTACTCTGGGGTTGCCCCCACGTCACCCTCCACCAACCCCAGTGTCAACTGGGTCCTGATTCTGGGGCACGTGGCTGCCACAGCTGTTTCCTGGGGCCTATGACCTTTGTGGTAGGGGTGTCCGAAGGAAATTTGTGCTGGCAAAGGAGAGTTTTGTCGTACAATATATGTCTTTGTGGGCGTCATCTGAGAGCGTAGGGGTTTACTCCAATCAGTAGTATAAGAACGGTTAGCTTATTTTATTACACCATTTCCTTGGGGAATTAATTTCCTCGGACTTCTCTGCTGGCTTTGCTTCACCTCTTGCATAAATATTAAAACACAAAGGGAAGACTTGCTAAAATCTAGAATTTCAGTTCAGGGCTGTCAAGCTGCTTGTGCTCTGGCTCTTCTAGAGAAGTCTAGGCCTTCCTCTTGGTGGCAGTCAGCACCTGGTCTCCCCACATCGTTACAAATTGCCAAGAGGTTGTGCTCAGTCTCAGTGGCGTGGTGGTATGGGTCGCAGGGTTGTCCCCCTGTGATGGACTGTTGCTGCGTCCTGGCACTCAAGGAAATCAGCTTCAGGATCCAGTCATCTCATGATGTCAGAATTCGTTGTTGAGTTGTGGGCTGTCGACTCCTGAGCTGTCCCCTCTCTATGGAATTTACAGGGTCGTGGGAACTTGTATTGGTAACGTTAGCAGGCCTTCCTTGAGATAGTACCATGTGATGCTAAGCATGTGTTAGTTCGGCCGCTGCCCTGAAATACACTCATGGTCACAGCTTAGCAGGTTTGCCCGGATTAGGGACGGTGAGGTTGTGGTTCTGGAGTGAAGACTGAATACAGAGTGAGAAAGGTGCCTCTGAGTGCGGGAGAGGGACTCAGAGGAGATGGAGCACGTCTGCTTACCTGTTTGCAGACACGTTTCTGACTCTCTACCCCCACCCTTGGTTAGACCAGACTTGTGAAATTCACCCAGTAAGCTTGTTACAACTGCCGGTGTATGGGCTTTAGCCACCCCCTACTGCCACCCGCATTTCTGATTTGGTTCGCTTGGGTTATAGCCTGGGCGTTAAGTGTTCCTTCACTACCTCCGACTATCCCGCATGCAGCCAGGGTGGATCACCTGGAGTAGCAGTCAGGAGTCCAGGTTATTAGATGTGTTTAGTGCCTGTGTATGTCTAGATGTTAGATCTAGTTGTGAGTTGGCGTCGAGTCGATTCCGACTCATGGTAACTTCACGTACAACAGAATGAAACATTGCCTGTTCTTGCATCATCCTCACCATTTTGGCATGTTAGAGTCTGTCTCAGTCACCTAGTGCTGCTGTAACAGAAATACCACAAGTGGATGGCTTTTACAAAGAGAAATTAATTATCTCACAATTTAGGAGGCTAGAAGTCTGAATTCAGGGTGTCAGCTCCATGGAAAGGCTTCCTCTCTGTCAGCTTTCTCATCAGTGTTCCCTCGGACTAGGAGGTTCTCCATGCAGGGACCCTGGGTCCAAACGATGTGCTCTGCTCCCGGCACTGCTTTCTTGGTGATATGAGGTCCCCCTGTCTCTCTGCTTGCTTCTCCCTTTTACATCTCAAACGGGGTTGGTTTAGGACACTATCTAGTTTTATAGACCTCATCAGTATAACTGCCTCTAATACATCTCATCACATCATAGTGATAGCATTTACAACACACAGGGAAATCACATCAGATGATAGAATGGTACAGGGTCATACAACAGTGGGAATCGTGACCTAGCCAAGTTGACACGTTTTTGGGGACACAGTCCAATCCATGACCGTGTCCATCGTTGCAGCTGTTCGTCAGTCCGTCTCACCGAGGGTCTGCCTCGCCCTCGCTCACCCTCTCCTTCACCAAACGATGTCTCCTCTAGCAGGTGATCCCTCCCGATGATGTGACCAAAGCAAGCGAGTCGGACAATGTTACATTAGACCTGGAGGCTCTATTAATTACAGTCGGAGAAGGATAGTGGGGCGTCTTTAGCCGTCTTCCCGTCGTCATTGTTTTCGTTTGTGTTCTGTTAGAGACACATGGCGAAACCCTTTGAAATGGTATCTGTTCTGTGATGTCTCTGTGTTGTTCGGTTGAACTGTATCCTGGGTAGAGCCCAGGGTTAGTGCTGACTGGCCCTCTCCCTTCCCTGCAGCAAGAGTACTGGAGGCTAGTGGAAGAGAAAGACTGCCACGTGGCCGTCCACTGCGGGAAGGTGGACACTAACACGCATGGAAGCGGATTCCCTGTGGGAAAATCAGAGCCGTTTTCAAGGTAAAGTTGGACTCTCTTGTCTGGAGTTCTGACGGATGCCCGGGCTTCACTTTCCACAGCCAGCATCTTCTCTAGTGTTCTGGTTCCACCGTGAGTGTGTGACGTCCCTCTGGTTTCCCTCCACAGGCATGGATGGAACCTCACAGTCCTCCCCAATAACACAGGATCCATCCTGCGTCACCTCGGTGCTGTGCCTGGTAAGCCTGCTGCCCCAGCCATCTTCAGGGTGGCTGGCTCTCCCTTCCCTGGGCAGCTTGGGAGTGAATTCCTCCCCTCGGAGAGCTAGCACTGGGATGATTCCTTCAACTGAAGACAGCCTTAAAACGGACAGGGATATTGAAGTAGAGAGTATATAATCATTTCTAGAATATTTGATTTCTAGAAGAGACAGGACTGTAACAGAAGGAATGAAGTCAATAAAAATGTGAAGAGTGAACCAACTCCCAGAATCTTGAAGCAGGGCAGAAATTTCATGCTGAACTTTGAACCTCAAAAGTGGTACCTATAAAGCTAAAAGCCAGACGTTTTGAGGCTCCTACATGGTTTCCAGTTAAGCTCGTAAGTGATCAATTCTTGGCAGGTATTAGGGAAAGCCAGGGCCTCTGGAGGTTTCCGTCACTGAAGCCTAGGCCCTCAGGAGGAGACGGTCAGGAAGCTGTTGCTAGAGAAATACTTAGACCCAAGCCCAGGGAACCCTGTGGCCAGCCTCACCCTAGTTGGGGTCAGTTACTCAAGGCAACTCTAAACCACAGTGCTGAATTTCCCCACAAACAGGAGCTTAAGCTTGGAACCTCAGCTCACAGTATTGAGGTTCAATGTTGATACCGTCTTCATACTCCTATTCCTTGGTCCCAACTTAAACCTCCCAAAACCTAAACCCATTGCTCTCAAGTTGATTCCGACTCATAGTGACCTTGTAGGACACAGGAGAACTGCCCCATAGGGTTTCCAAGGCTGTAATCTTTGCAGAAAGAGGCTGCCACAGCTTTCTCCCACAGAGTGGCTGATGGGTTCAAACCACTGACCTTTCTGTTAGTAGCCTAGTGCTGAACCAGTTCGCCACCAGGGCTGCTCGGGCCCAACTTACACCTCGTGAGTTAAGATGTTCTTTTACGCCTGTTTTCAGACAGTGCCCGTATTCTTGGTTGAATTTCTGTGTAGCTAACAGGAAAGAACACATCCCTTCTTCTGAGCGAGCCTGGTTTGTTGCTTTCTCTTCTTGTTTCAGGGAAGAAAAGGGGTTTTTAATTACTGTTACTGTAATATATTGTTGGAATCCTTTGAAGTAACTTTTTCTCTTTATGTTTTAGGAGTGACTATTCCCTGGCTAAATATTGGCATGGTCTTTTCTACCTCATGCTGGTCTCGAGACCAAAATCACCTTCCATATATTGACTACTTACACACTGGTGCTGATTGCATTTGGTGAGTACCCACGGCCTCGCTCACGCTTCGGTTCTGGTACCTGTGGACTGTCACAGCCTAGGATTTCCCACCTCTGTATTTTCTCTGATGACTAGCAAGGGCGGGCATCTTTTCATATGCTTATTGGCCGTTCCTCTTCCTTTTGTGAATTACCTGCTTGTATCTTTGCATAGAGGTGGACTAACAGCACCCTCACTTCTGACACCAAGAACAAGGTCAGGAGGGTCCCCCCAAATCACCCTCAGTTCGATAATTCACGAGGGCGCCCAGAACTCACTGCAAGCTGTTCACTTGTGGTTCAGGTTTATTACAGACTGACACCAGCTGGTGGGCAGGGCAGACTCCAGGAGAAATACCAAACACAGAACTTCCACTGTCCTTTCCCTGTGGAGTTTAGGATGTGTTATTCTCCTGGAATCTGGGTGTGGCAATACGCAGAGTATCACCAGCCATGGAGGCTCACTCGATTCTCAGTTTTCAGAGGTTTTATTGGAGCTCTGTTATGTAGGCATGATTGATTGATCAATTGATTGCCCATTATGCTTGAGCTCAGTTTCCAGGTCGCTGATGCCTCATGACCCAAAGCCCCCACCTTAAGTCACATTGTTAGCCTCTCCAGTATGACTCAAGGCCCCAAGGTAAACGAACACTTACCTGTCAAACGTAACATTCCAAGGGCTCACAGATCACCTCCCCAAAGCCAAGGGAAAGGCCAGACTTTCTCTTCAGGCAAGGCCAAATTCTTTACCGTGCAGGCCACACCCTGACCTTTGGCCAAGGCTCTCTTGCGGTCAGATGATCACGCTTGTCTGGGCACCTGTATTCAGGGTAGCGTTTCTGTGACAGGCACAGCAGTGGTGTCACCATGAATGTGCCTGACATTTGCAGGTGCCGCTAGAGATAGAGTTAAAGAAACAAGTGATGTGTCCTGTGAGCAAGGCCAGATTCTTCACTGAGTGATCTCTGTTATTTCTTCTGGGATATTCTTTCTTTGTTGTTGATGCAAAGAGTTTTTTCATATTAAAGATAAGAAACAGTAGTAACATTGCCATAAAAAGTTGGCTAGTACCCCTGGACACCCTTTTAGCTCAGTAACGAAGTCACTCCTGAGGTTCACCCTTGAGCCAAAGATTAGACAGGCCCATGAAACAAAATAAGACTTAACAGGCACACTAGCCCAGGGGTCAGGACGAGAAGGCACGAGGGGACAGGAAAGCTGGTAGTAGGGAACCCAAAGTAGAGAAGAGGAGAGTGTTGACATGTCATGGGGTTGGCAACCAATGTCACAAAACAATACGTGGATTAATTGTTTAATGAGAAACTTGTTTGCTCAGTAAACCTTCATCTAAAGTACAATTAAAAAAAAAAAAAGAGACACAAGGGAAAGATTAGTCCAAAGGACTAATGGACCACAACTTCCATGGCCTCCACCAGACTGAGCCCAGCATAACTAGATGGTGCCCGGCTACCACCACCAACCGTTCTGATAGGGTTCACAATAGAGGGTCCCAGACAGAGCTGGAGATAAATGTAGAACAAAATTCTAACTCAAAAAAAGACCAGACTTAATTGATCTGACAGAGACTGGAGAAACCCTGAGAGTATGGTGCCTGGACATCCTTATAGCTCAGTAATGAGGTCCCTCCTGAGGTTCATCCTTCAGGCAAAGGTTAGACAGGCCCAGGAAGTAAAACACCGAGCCAGGGAAGGGGCAAGGGAAAGACAAGCAGAAAGTGGGTCAGTAGCGGTGACTGTTGTTTGCGTTCTGCTGACCTGATATAACCTGTCCTGTACGTGGCAGCCCGTGAGTATAGGAAGAGTAGATTGTTCGTGGGCGAACTGGTTCCTGCTGTGCCGAGAGGCACGTGTTTATTCTGCACGGTTTATGTGTTGAGGGGCTGTGCATTCTGGGTGGCTATCTGCCTGTAATGTAACCCCTCTCTCTCCTCTAAGAGGCAGTTCTGATCAGTGGGCTGGGCTCTCTGTGTCTTTGTTTACAGTGGCAGATGGGAATTTACTGCCAATTATCAGATGTCTTGTAGTCTGAGAGTCTACCGCCTCTGCCTTCATCCCCCAGTAACTGTGTTTATCATCCTAATGGGGAGATTAAGCATTCTTTATTAAAATAAACAAGTCTTAGAACCAAACTTCTTCCTCCAAGGAGCCAGTGTCTCCCGCCGTCTGTTAGAACTTGCCCTGCTTCTAGGCCACGTTATAGTGAGCGGCCGTGTTGAGAAACAGGCAGTGCATGAAGCAAACCAGCTGAAGCGTCCGTGTCCCGAGGAAGATGGTCTTGAACTTTGGGCAGCTTGTCTTTGGGGGCGAGATTGCGAGCGTATGCCGCCAGGCCGTAGGAGCCGAGACCGACAGTGATCTTGAGGTGCAGGATGGGTAGACCTGATGGCCAGAGAGTGGACCACTGGGACGGTCCCCGTTGGGGTGAGGAGCTGCTTTTTCTGCCAGGAGTGTCGACCATCAGGGCCGTTCCTGTAGGGGTCGCTGTAGCAGGCCCAGGCAGCCTGAGGCTGTGGACTCGTGGTCCAGAGATCCTTTGTCTCTTCATCTGAAAAGGTCGCTGTGACACGCCATGTACCCCCGAGGTGACGAAGGGAAATACCGTAGTGACAGCACGGGCCATGCAGGCTGATTTTCT